AAGTGAGTGCCACTTAAGCAACAAATAGGAATGGATAATAATCAAATAGAAATGCACCGGCCCATATGTGTTAAGAGAACCATATAGGCCCAATTAAGCCCACAGAACTAAAATGCCACAGCAAAATAAAGAAAACCGCTAACCTTGTGTGTAAAACCTTGCTGCTAGTATGGTATAACGACACTTGGTTGATCACAGCCTTAACTGTGATATGTATTTCAAAAGGGCAACTTGAAATTTAATTTTTCTTTCTATTTGTAGAGTTAAGCCTTTCTCAAACTTCCATTTCGTGAGCTTCTCAATCTCCTGTTCACTGATGAAGCAGGGGAGAACGTGAGACAAATCATGGGCAAACGTTTAAGTATAAAAAATCACCAAGGGTTGAATACAGTTTCATCTCAATGCTGGAATTGAGAACTTCTAATCTCCAATGATCTCCTAGAGAAGAAGTTAAGGTTTTCCGCATCCACCAATGATATTATTTATAAGAGACTTCAGATTTTTCCACACTGACGATTTTCCTTGAGATTCTGCATCTCCATTAGGCTCTTTGTACAACTCCCTACATAAAAAATAATATTGGACAATGCTACAAGTACATAATCATATACATAATACATTACATAATTGACATGTGGTGCGCATTTATAGATAGTCTACAATTTTTGACTTTTCCACACTTCACATCCAGGCCGGATTTCTTCCACATGGATTTATGTAATTCATTATATACATATAAATTTATTCAAAATAATAAGACTTCTCAAGAGATGTAGGATATACAAATTGGGGAAGAAGGAGATGAGGGTGGGGGTAGCTGGTTGTAGTTTTTTTTTTTTTTTTTTTAAATTTTTGATTAAATAGAGGAAATGTATTATGTCAAAAATCCCCTTACCTCATTTGGAGAAAATTATTAGATTTTTAATTTTTGGGTCAACTGACGATTTTTGGGGGTCAAACTAACAGAAACTGTTATTTTGGACTTGGGCTACAATTTTTTTAAACGTTTGGTACAGTTGGTGGTACAAATGAAAGGTTTGTTCAAAGTCTGCAACGAACAGAAAGGTTTGGTACCTCGGCTGCAATTTTTCCTTTAATGTATTTTGATTAAAAAAAATGATGAAATATATGATTGATAAGTTGATAAAATTTATGATGAATTTGATTCTTGACTTTGAATTGAATTTTTGGCAACTTTTTTTTTAACTAAACCAAACAAGGCTAAGCCCCTGTTTGGCACCCATTCTTTTTAATTTTTTTTCTTTCTTAATTTCAACTACATATTCTCCAAATAAAATAATATTACATACAAATTTAAAAATTTTCATCACTTTTCCGCCTCACATTCTCCCATCAATCACTATTCCAAAATTTCTATTCCTATTAAGCACCCGTTTGTCTACCATTATTCAAAAAAATTGTTTGATACAGTAAGATTCTCCACTACACATTCATCAAATAAAATATTCTACACAGACCAATAAAATTACTTTACTTTTCTACCACACATTTTCTAAAAAATACTATTCATTACTCTATTTTTCTCCCGATAATGGGAGACAAACACACCCTAAAATAGGTGTCAAACACTCACTAAACAATGTTACTCATTGGTGTGGCATCCACTTCTGATCCGACACCAACCAATTAAATCTTGACATCGAGTAATAATCATTGTATCGAAATTATAATTTTTTCAAATAAAAATGCGATTTTAAGGGAAAAGGCCAAAATCTTATTTGGTCGAACGATTTAACAAATACGTCGTTGAATAATGTGATGTTAATGAAATAATAAATTATGTAATATCTTTTAAGAATTAAATGAGTCACAAAAAATAGTTTGACAATTTCTATTTGAAAATTTCTTTCAACTTTAGTGACATAGTGAAATTAACTCTTTTTAATGCAGGTATGGCTAATATTAAAAATTTATTTACGAATAAGTGTTTGGTTCAATTAAAAACTAATAATTTAAATTTAAATTAAAGTTAATAATTAATTTAAATTATATATTATATAGAATTCACAATTTTTCAACAATATATTCCCTCAATTTTTATCTAAATCTGCTAAAAATTTGATTTTTATCTAAACCAAACGGGAAAAAAATAATTGATCTTGATTACGTTTAAATTTTAAAAATATATAAGCTATTTATTTTATAATAGTTTTATTACTGTTAAAAAATAATTTTATTTATTTTAATAAGAAAAGATAAACATATAGAGGTGTCAAGACGGACGAGTTAGCCAGACCCGTAAAAATCGGGACCTCGGGCTGACCCGTAACCCGTGCGGGCGGTTCACGAGCCATGAAGGTATAATCCGTGGGTTTCGCGGGTTGCACCCCCACGGGCCGCGATTAACACGCAGCCCGTGGAAATTTTTTTTTTTTTGAAAAAAAGCAGGGAGAGAGTCGTTGCTTGCTGTAGAGTTGCAGGCAGGAGCCTGCAGCTGCGCCATGCAGGCTAAGCCTGCATGGTCAAAACAATTTTTTTTTTTTGTGAGTAACAGTAAAAAAAAATTTTTTTTTAGTAACGATAATATTATTTTTATAACGGTAATTTCATCCCCTTCAT